TTTGGAAATTAGGGGTCATCTTTGATTCTTTCTTTTATTTTGCACAATTCAGGGAGACCCTATCTCAAAAGAAAGAAGGAAAGAAAAAAAAAAAAAGACAAAAAACAACTCCCTCCAAACAAACAAAAGACCAAAAAAAAAAAAAAAAAAAATCAGGGTTGGGAATGTAGCTCAGTAGTTACTTATTTGTGAGGCCTACGTTCAATCCCCAGTACTTGGGGAAAAAAAAAAAGGTGTTAATTTTTCTTTCTCATTAAAAGATGTTACCATTTAACTAGTTTGATCTGGTCAAATCTGGTGATATAGTCATCTTTCTGATGTCATCTTGTACCGTTTTTTCCTATCCAACCACACTTCTTCCTTTATGTTATTCAAATATGCCACATCTGACCCATTTAAAATTCTTTGCTCTTAGGGGCTGGGGTTGTAGCTTAGTGGCTGAGCACTTTCCTCACATGCGTGAGGTGCTGGGTTCAATCCTCAGCACCATATACAAAAATGAATGAATAAACGAAGATGTTGTGTCCACCTACAATAACAACACAAAAAAATTWAAAAAAAATTCTTTGCTCTTGAAATTCCCTCTGTCTTTCCCCAGTATTTTCTTGGCTGGCTCATTTTCATTTTTCAGGTCTCATCTCAAATGCTATATCTTCCTGAGAAATTCCTACACCCAAGTGGCCTCCACCCAGCCAATCTCTAACCATGTTGCACTTTTCTTCCTCAATATCTGAGGTTACTTATTTCTATGCTTATGTATTTTTTGCCTTTCCCCATTGGAATGTATGCTCCATGAGATCAGGAAGTTTTCTCTTGGTATTGATCTATCTCAAAGGCCTAGGACAGTAACAGTGCCTCATAGATGTTTAATAAATATTTGTGGAATGAATAAAAATTGAGCATTGATAAGCAGAAGTGAGTAACAATAGAACATCAACTTTTTTTTTTTTTTTTTTTTTGTACTGGGAATTGAACTCAGGGGCACTCAACCACTGAGCCACATCCCCAGCCCTATTTTGTATTTTATTTAGAAACAGGATCTTTCTGAGTTGCTTAGTGCTTCTCAGAGGCTGACTTTGAAGGAGATCCTCCTGTCTCAGCCTCCCGAGGCTGCTGGGATTGCAGGCGTGTGGGGCGTTGTGTTAAGTCCTGAATGCAAAGTTTATTTTTTTCTACAAAAATAATACAGGCAGACACATCATGGTTTTTCTTCAGGCAAGTATCCAAGGATGGCAAACTCTTCAGAGTTTGCTGATACAGACTTTTCCTGTCATTTCAGAAGCTCTAGAGAGAGAAAGAAAATAACCATTTAGTTTGAAGAGTAGATGAGAGGGAAACATAGCAACACACTCCAGTGACTTCCAGTCCATAAATGTATATCATATACTGTCAACTTTATGCTCAGGGTAAGTTTTATCCTCCCACCCCCCAATTTGTTTTACCAAAGTGGTGCCAAGAGTTAAAGTGAGACCGAGGATGTAGGTCAGTGCTAGAGTGCTTGCCAAGCATATGTGAGGCCCTGGGTTTGATCCTTAACACTGGAAACCCATTTGAAACCCATAAATCTCAGAGGGTTTTTAAAAAATATTTTTAGTGTAATATTTAATATTTTTATGTGGTGCTGAGGATCAAATCCAGTGCCTCACACCTTCCATGCAAGCACTCTACCCACTGAGCTACAACCCAGGTCCTCTTTTGTTGTTGTAAATGTGAAGCCACCCAGAGATTCCACAGCCTAGGGCACACTGAACACAGACAACAGTGTGTCTGTGTGTATGTGTGTGTGTGTGTGTGTGTGTGTGTGTGTATGTGTGTGTGTGTGTGTGTGTGTGTGGTACTGGGGATTGAGCCCAGGGGTACTCTATCATTAAAATACTTTCCCGATGGGTGTAGTGGGGCATGCTTGGAGGATTTAAAAGCCAGCCTCAGCAATTTAGTGAGGCCCTAAGGAACTCAGAGAGACCCTGTCTCAAAATAAAACAAACAAAAAAAATAAATAAATAAAAAGGCAAGGGATGTGACTAAGTGATTAAGCACCCCACGGTTCATTCTCTGATACCAAAACCAAACCAAACCAAACTATCTTCCTAGACGTTTTAAAAAATATTTTAGTAAGTGAGACAGGGTTTTGCTAAGTTGCCCAGACTGGACTCCACCTCAGCCTCAGCCTCCGAGTTACTGGGATTATAAGACAGTGCCACACTGCATCTGGCTGAAGATGGTTCTTACTAAAAATCCCTGAGTTACTTGAGAAAATTAATTGTCAAAAGAGAGAGCCAAGCCTGGTTTGGTGGCACATGCCTGCAATGCCAAAGACTTGGGAGGCTAGATAGGAAAATTGCAAGTTTGAGGCCCGCTTCAGCAATTTAGTGAGAACCTATCTCAAAATAAAAAATAGAAAGGGCTGGGATGTAGTTCAGTGATTGAGTGCCCCTGGGTTCTTTGAATTAATACCCCCAAAACTTCAGGTGATAGGACATTGAAAAAAAAATTTAATATAATTATGTTCACTATGTTGTATTTATGTTTACTATTAGGCCAAATCATGTCATTACAGAAAAGAGCAAGTGAATTTGAAAATGACCAAACAGGGGTTGGGGTTGTGGCTCAGTAGTAGAACTCTTGCCTAGCACATGTGAGTCACTGGGTTCTATTCTCGGCACTGCATATAAATAAATGAATAAAATAAAGGTCCATCAACATCTGAAAAATATTTTAAAAAATTTACCAAACAGAATTTAAAGAATTAAAATCTATAGTTACTGAAATAAAAACCCAATAACTGGCTTACATAATAAACTAGACATGTTTGAAGAGAAAATTATTAYACTGACAGATAAAGTTATAGAAACCCAGGGTATAGAACAGGGAAATAGTGCAAAGTAGAGGTTGAGAGATGTAGATGCATCAACATACTTCTTCTTAATAAGGAATACTTCAACATTTTTCTTCTTTTTTACAACATTTTTTTTAGTTGTCAGTGCACCTATATTTTGTTTATTTATATGTGATGCTAAGGATCCAACTGGTACCTCACACATGCTAGGCAAGCGCTCTGCCACTGAGCTACAACCCCAGACCCACTTCAACATACTTCTAATGGGAGTTCTGCAAGGAGAGATGAGAGTCAACATTCCATGAGATACTCGTTGAACATTTACCAGAATTGACATGAATCTTCAGATTAATGAGGCATACTGTTCCAAGCAGGAAAAACAGACAACACACATCAGAGCMGATTGGCAGAATTCAAATGTGTGTGTGCCAATATGCTCTGTTTCAAAGTGTATATTTTAAAAGACACCAGAGAAAAGAGGAAATTTCTAACAAAGTCATAAAAAGCAGTCTTAACAGAGGCTGCTTTTCATCAGTATCAGTGCCTGTGAAGCACCGTGATAARTGTAGAAGTTGATATAAGTAGTGAGAAAACTGCCTATTTTAGAGGAGTATATAGTCTAATACAAAGAATGTTTTTAGAAGGAAGAAAGTGTTGTCTTTTTTTTTTTTTTCTTCTGGCATTGGGGATGGAACCCAGGGTTTTGGGCATGCTAGACACATACACTCTACCACTGAGCTACATCCTTAGCCCTAAAGGGTCATGTCTCAAGAGAGGAACAGATGTCTTGAGCTGAGTTTAGAGGAGAAATTATCTTTGTTCTGTATGACAGGGGATATGGTACCAATTTGCTAGACTTTGAAAGACAAACAGGACAATGCTAACCACATCAATTTAACTATTTATTGAACACATATTATGTGTATGGTGCTACATTTGGAGCATTTCATCCTGGGTTCATTTATTTTTCACAATAATACTGTTAGATCAGTATTGTTATTCTCAATTAAATATGAAGAGATTAAAACTCTTTAAGGATAAATGAATTCCTGAAAACCACACAGCTAGTAAATTGTCCACCTTGGTTCAAGGTGGACCAAGCCTTGAATCTAGATCTGGCAAGTTCCCAATTCCCTGCCCCTTTACCTCTCTAATGGTTTTTAGAGTAGGTACAAAATTTTCATTTCCAAAAGCCAATTATCATCTGTCCCTTGGGTTCAAATACCAGGACTTGTCACAAGATGTGGTTTGCAGGCGATTTGCATCATCAAATCATGGGAAGAGTTGCCAAATTTCCTGGCCCTACTCTCCAAGGTTCTAAGAATTAAGTCTGGGAGGAGCCCAGAGAATATTTGTTTGAGGTGTTCCATATTGAACCCAGGGTTTGCGGATACTAAGCATGTGTTRCACCACTGGGCTACACACCCATACACACCCAGCCCAGAATTTGTTTTGCTTTTTTTTTTTGGGGGGGGGGGTACTGGGTTTTGCATGCTGGAGCGCTTAACCACTAGCCACATCCCCAGTCTTTAAAATTTTTTATTTAGAGACAGAGTCAGGCTAAGTCCCTTAGGGTCTCACTAAATTGCTGAGACCAGCGATCCTCTTGCCTCAGCCTCTGGAGCATCCCGGGATTACAGGTTTGTGTCACTGCGCCTGGCTCCGTTTGCTTTGTAAAGCAAATTTATTTAGTCTATCTTGAGCACACTGTATCTAGAAAGTCTTCGAAGAAACAAGTTCTGCTTTGGAAGAACACTCCAACTACACTTCAAGTTTTCGAATGGTCTTTTCCATATTGGTACGCCTAAAGCTTATCCTTGACAGCACAGGGACTAGTTGCAAGACTAAATGACTGAGTGGTTGAGGTGATCTTCATATATCTCAATTTGGAAGCMCGAACGAAACTATTTGTCAAATTGCATAAAATCACACACAAAAAAATCTGCAGTTTCGGCTTGGAAGATGTAGAGGAGCAAGTTAGGCCTGACCAGTTACATGGTAAAGGCCAACTAAATTGGCATCTACGTCACCGGTCGGAGATGCTTGGGTAGGGTTGCGGGGATAGGGCTGCGAGCTTTAAACGAGGTCGTTTGAGTCTTGCACAGGCGCAGAAGGACAGCGGTCAACCAAACCTCAAGGCGCGCCCTTCCCCCACCCTCTTTCCAGCGTTCTCCCAGCGCGCAGGCGCATAGAGCGCATCAAGATGGCGGCCCCCGTGGATCTCGAGCTGAAGAAGGTAAAACGGGTTTTCAGTAGGCAGAACCTCTTCTTTGGGGGATGAGGGACAATCATCCCTAGAATATCAACTAGAATATCGAGGGGGCTGGGTCTCAGAAGGAAAGAGGCTACAGGGGAGGGGGGAATGGTTTCCTAGAGTCTTGAGGCGGCACCAGCTCTTCTAGCTGGGGTTGGGGGCGAGCGGCTCTTGCTGGGTAGAACTGGTTAAGCTGGGGTAAGTGTACCTGCCAATCCCCGGCCTGTCTCCAGTCTGAACTCTAGAGCCATTTCACTGCGTTTGAAACCTTCAGATATTCAGCTTCATGATAAGAACTGAAGAGAGCGTTTCAAATGGAAGCCCCTTCGGACCGCTTGCCCGAGCTGAGGCATCTAAAATTCGACCTCATTATTTCCTTTGAAAAGCCCCGAGTTCAACCTTTGTTTTTGGCCATTTATTGGATACCATACCTTGAAAGGTAGCAGTATCAACGTTTCAAAAAATCAGACGTTATAGCAGTGTTCTCCAGGGGTTAAGCTCCCCGCCCCGTTCCCTTTTGGAAAGACTTGTCCAAAAAATCTAGTAAAGTTTTCCAGTAAAGTATCAGAAGGAATTGTATTTCTCCCTTTGTTCAAACAATTACTTATAAATAGGTTGTTACTCAGAAACATTTGCCACCTAGGAGTGGGTCAAGGATTTTAACGACACTGCGGACCCCAAACCCTGTGTAATGTACCAGTTTAAATGTTTTTCTAGAAAGGTTTCAAAGATGGGGACTATGTCCAGTAACGTCTGTTTTACCGTTTACTTTTTTTGTTCATTAGTTAGGTTATTCAGGTTAGTAACATCTTACTTTAATGACTGCCTTTGGTTAACCTTTGCATAAAAAACAGGACAGCTGAAATAGCTGTTTTGCCCAAGGAAGCTGTTATTCCTCTGGGGATATTAGGTGTCTGTGTCCTGTTTTTTTTTTTTTTTTTTTTTGCCATTCTTGAAACTTGTAAATTTAGTCCTTATATGGTGTTTTCTTACTGTGTAATATCTTGGCTTTAACAGTACTTGCTTCCTTAGCAAACTGTATACAGAGCAATCAGAGATACTTGGAATTTACATTTTAAAAAATCGTACATTTAAAAAAAATTACCTTCTTTTCCTGTTTAAATTTAAACCATTTCATGGTTTAGTGAAAAAGCTAACAGGAGTACAATTGTACTTACCTACATTAGAATTTGTTGCTAAGAAACATGGACTATGAATGCAAATAGAAAATGATTGCATACTTTAATAGTTTGACAACCGTTAAATAATTATAAAAAAGAACTTGTTTAAAGCTCTTATCTAGTGGCTTTCAATTTCTTTTCTTCTTGGTGAAAACTAGTAGGAAATTACAGACACCTGTCCAACTCCAAAGGAGATCTTTGGAACATCACTAGTATGTGACAACAAAGTCAGGATAAAAGTTAAGTAGTAGTCTTTGCCATGTATTGGTCCTACCAAATGTTGTTAAGGCATAAATCTGACAGCATGTGAAAGTCATTCCAGGCACTTCAATAAAAGTATCCAAGAACTGTGTTTATCTTCCCAGTTAAGTAGTGTACACAAGGGTCACATTTGGCCTGGTATGTGCAGATGAAGATCATGATGCAATTCTGCCACTGCCTAGCATTTTCTCTTTTTGTTTTGGTCATTCTCTTTATAATGACTGCTTTCTGAGTTGAGACAGTAGAATGAAAAGATTCCTGAACTAAGGGGTCAGAAGAATGGGTTGAAATATCTGTCTTTTCCACCTTTAGTTGTTCAATCTTGTGCAAACCAGTTTTCTTTCTTAACTCATTTAATTACTTGTTTGTAATATGTGAATGATGAAACGGCTACCCCTTACTTAGGAYTATTGGGAGAAGTGAGATCTCTTTAAAGTTCTCAATAATATTTCTAAGCTAATATTTTGAACTAATGTGGGAAAGTGCTTTGAAATCCAGTTGTGTAATACAAATCTAGTCAGTTGTTACTTGATGTTTCTTGCTTTGAGTCTCTGGGTTTCATCCTCTATTGGACTTATTGTTTTTATTATTTTTTGGCTACTTGATATGTTTATATTTAATGTGCATTTATTTTGCTTTTTTTTAAGAGAGAGAGAGAGAGAGAGAGAGAGAGAGAGAGAGAGAGAGAATATTTCAATATTTATTTTTTAGTTTTTGGCGGACACAACATCTTTGTATGTGGTGCTGAGGATTGAACCCGGGCCGCACGCAATGCCAGGCGAGCGTGCTACTGCTTGAGCCACATCCCCAGCCCCTTATTTTGCTTTTTAAAAATTGATTGCATCATATATACATTTATATGTGTGTGTGTGTGTGTATTTGTAGACACAATACCTCTATTTTATTTATTCACTCTTATGTGGTACTGAGGATGTAACCTAGTGCCTCATTACATGCTAGGCATTACATGCTCTACCACTGAGCTACAATTACAGCCTCTGATTGCATCTTCTAGGGAGAGGATAAATTCAGTATTTAGCATAACTAATTATAATGTTAATTGTAGTTAACATTACACTTATTGACTCTTTTATGTTTGCATTAGTAAATTTCACAGCTTAGTCTCTGGTTAGGATGTTCTMATAAATTTGGATTTGACTTAAATGTTTTCTGTAAAATGTTTAAACTGCTAAATCAAGAACTTGTTTTTATTAGGCCTTCACAGAGCTTCAAGCCAAAGTTATTGACACTCAACAGAAGGTGAAGCTTGCAGACATACAGATTGAACAGCTAAACAGAACGAAAAAGCATGCGCATCTTACAGATACAGAGATTATGACTTTGGTAGATGAGACTAACATGTATGAAGGTGTAGGAAGAATGTAAGTAAAATATGTCCTTAATGTTGTTATTTTGGGAGAGCTTTTGTCTGAATTAAATCATAGAATTTGTTGTTCCTTTTTTTTTTTTTCTAATGAGGAATTGAACCCCACATAGGTATTGTTTAAATTTACACTTTGAAGATGGTTGAGGTGATACATATCTATAATCCCAGCTACTAAGGAGGCTGAGGCAGGAGTATTTCAGGTTTAGGCCAGCCTTGGGAAACTTAGCAAGACCCTGTCTCAAATAAAATATAAAAAAGGTGGGGGATACAGCACAGTGGTACAGTGCCCCTGGGTTCAATCCTCAGTACCACCACCACCAAAAAAAAAAAAAAAGGCACTTTGAAGTACATTTCTTAAATATTTTACTTTTTTTTTCTGTGATTAATTACTTAAGTGTGTTGCTTCAATGCTACAAATATGATTTTTTAAAAATTGGAATATGTTTATGTTTATGGGCATTTTGTATGTGAAGATTTATTTTGGTACGTATAGTTTTAATCTCCTTTTCCCTACGTATTAGGAATCTACAAATCACAAATCTTTTAGATGTCTGACCGGAGTTGTAAAATAAAATATAAAGATTCGCTTGCCATTTAAATACACTCATTCTAAGTGTCATGCATTGTTCTAATAGGACAACTTGTGAAAAATTTAGTAAGTCAGTTTACCTTTTCTAATTATTATTATACAATTAACCTCCAACATTTCGTTTTTTTCCCCCTCTTTTTGTTTTTAATTTTTTTTTTGTACTGGGGATTTGAACCTAGGGGTGCCTTTACCAGTAAGCTACATCCCTACCCCTTTTTTATTTTTTATTTTGAGACAGGGTCTTGCTGAGTTGCYAAGGCTGACCTTGAATTTGTGATTCTACTGCCTTAGCCTCCCAAGTTGCTGGGATTACAGGTGTATACCACTCAGCCTGTCTTACTTTTTTTTTTTTTYCCCTTTTGAAAAACATCATTCTTGGGACTGGGGTTGTGGCTCAGTGGTAGAGCACTTGCCTGGCATGTATGAGGTGCTGGATTTGATCCTCAGCACCACACAAATAAATAAATAAAGGTATTGTGTCCATCTACAACTAAAAAAATATTAAAAAACCAAACAAACCAAAAACAACATTCTTGCTGGGAATGGTGCACGTGGCTCCCAAGGCTGAGACTGGAGAATCGTGAGTTCAAAGCTAGCCTCAGCAATGGGAATGGTGCACATGGCTCCCAAGGCTGGGGTTGTGGCTCAGTGGTCAAGTACCTCTGAGTTCAATCCCCGCTTCAAAAAAAAAAAAAACACATTCTTGGCCAGGCTCAGTGGTGCTCGACTGAAATCCTAGTGGCTCGAGAGGCTGAGGCAGAAGCATCTCGAGTTCAAAGCTAGCCATAGCAACTTAGCCAGGCCCTAGAGGAACTCAGTGAGACCCTGTCTCTAAATAAAATATAAGAAAAGGGCCAGGGATGGGAGGGATTGAATCTGGGGCACTTAATCACTGAGCCACATCCTCAGCCGTTTTTATATTCTTATTTACAGAGACAGGGTCTTGCTGAGTTGCTTTAGGGCCTGGCTAAGTTGCTGAGGCTGGCTTTAACTTGCAGTCCTCCTGTTTCGGCCTCCTGAGCTGCTGGAATTACAGGCATGCACTTCCTAGCCTGGCCAAAACGTTATTCTTAAAGAAAGAATAGGTCTGCTTCATATTCTCTAAGCAGAAAATGAGGAATGGAAAAGCTTTTAAGTTACAGGTCACATTCCATTACTATGAGTTAAAAGGAAAAGACTTTTATTTAGGTGTGGAAGGTAGGGGAGGAGGGTTTTTCTGGAATTTGGTCTTTATTTAAAATGTACCATTACTTCAAGTTTGGAGGTCTCTTAGTTAGAATGGAATTTGACCTCAGTCTTGGGATGACTTGTTTTGTGATTGATTTGAAGGAAGCATAGCATGTGTAAAATTTAGTAATGACTTCAGGATGACATCATGAGAAATAGACCCCTGCTCAGGGGCTAGGGTTGTGGCTCGCCTCTCACGTTTGAGACCCTGGGTTCCATCCTCAGCACCACATAAAAATAAATAAACAAAATAAAGATATTGTGCCCATGTATAACTAAAAAAAAAAAAAAAAAAAAAAAAAGACCCTGCTCATGACTGGATAGGAGATGGATTTTTTTTTTTTTTAAAAGAGAGAGTGAGAGAGGAGAGAGAGAGAGAGAATTTTTAATATTTATTTTTTAGTTCTCGGCGGACACAACATCTTTGTTGGTATGTGGTGCTGAGGATCGAACCCGGGTCGCACACATGCCAGGCCAGCGCGCTACCGCTTGAGCCACATCCCCAGCCCGGAGATGGATTTTAGTAAACTTTTCTGATTGGCTTTCTTAGAATGAAAGATATATCACATATAAATTTTATCTTTTCATTTTGGTTCCTTTTTAAGAGAGTGAGATTCCCAAATTGAGAATTTATTAATGGGACAAAAGAATTGGATTAAGAACAAGTAGAATCCTTGATTATGTGTCTGTGTAGTACATTAGTATTAACTATAAGGTGATTTTTATCCTTAATGTGAATATCCTGAGGTCTTTAAACAGTATTGCTAGCTTTTCTAGCACGATTATTAACATGTTGTGCTTGGATTTTACATCCTTTGTATAGCTAAAGAATCTTTTCAAAATAGAAACACTTTTTCAGCATCTTTGGTCTTTTGAGCTACACTGAAGTTTTTATTTTTTATTTTTTTAAAAATATTTTTTATTAGCTATTGATGGACCTTTATTTGTTTGTTTATATGTGGTGCTGAGGATTGAACCCAGTGCCTCACACATGCTAGCAAGCACTCTACCACTGAGCCACAACTCCAGCACTATTTTTTAATTTTTTAAAAAAATATTTTTTTAGTTGTCAATAGGCTTTTATTTTATTTATTTATCTGTGGTGCTGAGAATCAAACCCAGGGCCTCCTATGTGCTACGCAAGTGCTCTACCACTGAGCCACAACTCCAGCACTATTTTTTAATTTTTTAAAAAAATATTTTTTTAGTTGTCAATAGGCTTTTATTTTATTTATTTATCTGTGGTGCTGAGAATCAAACCCAGGGCCTCCTATGTGCTACGCAAGTGCTCTACCACTGAGCCACAACCCCAGCCCTGAAGTTTTTATTTTTAATTGCAATACTTTCATTTATTGAACATTCTACAGAAGTGATAGAATTGCTTTTTTAAAAAATATATCTGAAGTACTCCAGATAGATTATATTCCATGCAAAGAATGTTAGAGTTTAAAGGCTTGGATATGAATTAGTTAATAGTAGAATGATGTTTTCAAAAGATTTAGTTTATATAAATTATGTTCCTTTAAAGAAATGTKTAGTTTTAAGTGTTTGGATAATCTTTGGTTTTAAATTTGACTTTTGTGCTTTCTGCATCTTACTGGTAGTATAAGTTTGACCCTGCATTGTAGGGCATGTAAGGTGAATACTGTTTGTTGTTTGGCTAGAGTATTAGTGCCCTGAAAGGAAGAAAAGACTTGCTGAGTATTAGTCTGGTCATGAGGATGTTCTCTTTCTTGATGCTAAACCTGAAATATCTATTTCTGAATTTATGGTCTTGAGTAATCTTGGGTATCATTGTGATTCACTTCTTTAATTCTAGTGTTTACCTTAAATTGTTTTTTGACTATTATTTGTGAATTCTGATTACAATATTAATTTTTCCCAAATTCTTAGTTTTAAACCACAGATTATAAGATCCAAATTGTTTTTGTTTTAGAACCTGCAGTAGATTTTTCCATTGTGAAATTCAGGCTTCATTATTTCTTGCTTAACTATTATAATGGCATCTTCATTGTTCTTCCTGCCTGCATTCTGTCTGTCCACATCCATTCTTTATATATCTGCCACACTTGATCATATTAATGTTTTTTGTAAAATCCTTTGTGCATCCTGTTGTCCACAGGATAAAATCTAAACTTAGCCTAGCATTCATGGTCATTCATAAGCTGTCCTTAAATTACCCATCTAGCCTCAGGTCTACCAGCCTCAGGATAGCAAATAAATTTTATTTCTACTAGTTTTGTGTTATCTGTTGGGGACTTAAGGTTTCTTTGGTCTTTAAACATGYTCTGAGTGATTAGTGACATCTGTCATGGGATAAGGGTAGATTACTATCATCTGTACTAGCAATTATATCTTTACTCTGGCTATTTGGGTTTTCTCATCTATGTTTCCTTATTTCTTGGTATAATGTCTGGCACAGAATAGGTGTTAAATGTGTGTTGATTTGAATTGAGTCTGATTTTCTTTTTTTTTTTTTTAATTTTTTTTTTAAATATTTATTTTTTAGTTCTCGGCGGACACAACATCTTTGTTGGCATGTGGTGCTGAGGATCGAACCCGGGCCACACGCATGCCAGGCGAACACGCTACCGCTTGAGCCACATCCCCAGCCCTTGAGTCTGATTTTCTTTTGCTTGAAATAATTGCATTTTTCTTTTGGTTCTTCAAAGGAAAGGTTATGGTTAGAAAGTGTCAGAGCTTTAAGAATCAGTGTTATTCTATTTTATTATATGATTTAGTCAAGATGAAATTATAAAAGTAACATTTTGAATAAGGTCAGAGTTTCTAACCAAATTGTCCTTTTTCTGAAAGGATTAATCTAATAGGATTGTTTATTTGATTTTTCAAAAGTATTTTTAGTTGGAGATGGACACAGTACCTTTATATTATTCAWTTATTTTTATATGGTGTTGAGGATCAAACCCAGTGCCTCACATGTACAAGGCAAATGCTGTATCACTGAGCTGTAACCCCAGCCCCTGATTGTTTGTTAATTCCATTGAGAAAGTTGATTAATTCTAGATGCCAGTCAGAATTGACAATGTAGAAAATCCAAACCTTTAGAAATATTTGGAGGGAAGTATAATTCTTATAGAATAAAGGCTGTTCTGTGCAAACTAATATCAGTATAATGGTATCTATTTTACCTTCTTCATCTTACATAGATTAGAAGTCAG